AGATTTTATGGCTTTTACAAAGGAATTTTGGGTAACTGAGAATATCGAATGTGGGTTTTGTTATTTCATACCTAGAGAAACTTTATGTTTAATCTGAACAAATTTTCTGAATATTTTAAAATTATGAGGGAAGCTTCTTACTTCATAATTTCAAAGGATAATTTATAATAATTATACCTCTATCGCAAAATCTCTCTAATTCTATCACACTGTATCAATAAAAAAGTTTATAAAATATCTAAATGCGTAAATAAATATTTTCTAGAACATTATATTTAATCTGAAAAAAATTTCGAATATTTTAAAACTGAAACAGAAGCTTTATAATTTCAAAGGATAATTTATAATAGTTGCACCTCCGTCGCTAAATCTTTCTAATTCTATTGGTCTGTATGAATAAATAAACTTATAAAATATCTAAATGTGTAAATAAATATTATCTAGAGAATATTTTGAAATTCTTTTAAAACCCTAAATTAAAAAATTGTGTTAAAAATTCCATAAAATTCCATACCTAAAGAAACTTTATGTTTAACCTAAACAAATTTTTGAATATTTTAAAACTATAAGGGAAGCTTCCTATTTCACAATTTCAAAGGATAAGTTATAATAATTGCACCTCCATCGCTAAATCTTTCTAATTCTATCAATCTGTATCAATAAATAAGTTTATAAAATATCTAAATATGTAAATAAATATTTTCTAGAGGATATTTTGAAATTCTTTAAAAATTTTAAATTAAGAAATTGTCTTAAAAATTGCATAATGCTTAGCTAAGAAATTGAGTTGTTGCTTATCGAGCAATTAAATATTCCCAAAGTTCATAAATCGACAGGACGCATATATTTTGCACGTATTCCAACCATAATACGTTCGCTTTTTTATAGTTAATTAATCGTATACTTTGCGAAGACCCGTGCCGCTAACCCACTTTTGAGGCGAATAAACGATTTCTTTGGTCCACTTAGAAGGCGAGCGCGCACGCTCGTGAAAGAAGAGCACCGATGAAATGTGCCTGAGATAGTAAAACAGACAGTGACATTTTGTGAACCTCCGCGGTCATCGAGTCCATTTCCGATTTAGCCACCATTACTGTTTAACTTGCATTCCCACCAAATAATTTCAGTTAACTACTTAGTCAAATAAAATTTTAGATAGTCTAAAAATCAAACTAAAAGCAGAATACTCGATTGATAATAATTTTTATAATTTGACATTTTAATATTCTAATATTAATAAATTGAAAATTAATCAAGATTTAATTTACTCAAATCGTACGATTTAACTTGAAACCAATTTCCTTACTAAACTATCGAATTAGAAGCGTTAAATAGAATAAACGAAATTGTTAAAAAAGAAAATGTGGCAAAATAAAATAAAATTTTGCCTCCTATTATTTTTTAACAATTTCATTTATTCTATTTAACGCTTTTAACTCGATAGTTTAGTAAAATAAAATAAAATTGTAGAAAAAATAAGGAATACTATTTAAATAAAATAAGATTGGAGAATGAATGAAAAATACTGCTTAAATAAAAGAAAAGAAAAGAAAATCGTGGAAGGAATAAAGAGTACTATTTAAATAAAATAAAATTAGAGAATAAATGAAAAATACTGCTTAAATAAAATAAAATAAAGTAAAATTGGAGAATAAATGAAAAATACTGCTTAGATAAAATAAAATTCTTCGAAATAAAGTTTGCTATTTAGAATAAAGGATTTAAAGATGCTGAATGCTCACTTACCTTCCTGACGATTAGGCACAATGAATGGGGAGATTTGAACGCGCGCATAAGCGCGACGAACGACTTCACACCGCAACTTTTGCAATCAATGCTTTTTAATAGATCTCGATCTGCCTGTCCGCGCTCTATAATAATCGAATTTTCTTTTTTTTTTCCTTTTTCTGTTTCTTTTTTCTTTTTTTGTTCTCTTTTTCTGCTTTCTTGAGTTTCTCCGTGTGACCTTCGATAGAGTGCCGCGCTACAATGATCGGTGTCTGCGTTAGCAGGACTAAGGATAATCCGTCGTAATGATTAGCAATCATAATAACCGTGACAGTAATTAATAATGACGGTAATAATGGCGAGAATAATCATAATAATAATAATTCGAGTCGTTGACTGTAAAAGTGGCTCGATTGTATTGCTCCCCGAATTTCGAAGGCGTTTCGGGGTACCAGACCGTACCCCGAGTCTATTTAATTTGCAAATTTATTATAATTAGCACTAAGCTTCTCTAATCTCTCACTCTCGTTCTCTTTTCTTTCTTTCTCTCGCTCACACACTCTCACGTTCGATCGTCGACGATACGTTCACGCTTTTTCATAACGTTGCGCCATGTTTCTTCTGGGTTTTCTGTTTTTTTTTCTTCTTTTTTTCTTTTTTTTTCTCCGATTTTTCTCTTCGTTACAATCGATGCCTCGCCATCGCGGCATGACGACGTTTCGCAACGCGCCAACAGAACGAACGATCACGAATGCCTGGTGCAACGATTATCCTTGCGAATTACCTTTGATTTCGATCAATGTCGATAAGAAAAGCGATTGCGAATGTGAGTCTGAGTGTGCAGTGTAGGTTTACACTGGTTGGTCAGAAGTTTAGAATTTGTGGCTCTGATGAAACCTTCATGCTGTGATTTATGATTTTATTTTCTTCTTTGGTGTTCTGGTGTGGGGATTATATTTGCGATACTGTTGGGCTTTGATAGCTTTACGTTTGCGATATTCGAGTTTTCAAACTTTCGAATTTGCAATGCTTCGAATTTACGAAGTTTCGAATTGTTGATATTTAAAGCTTTCGAACTTCTGAATTTCCAATTTGTCGAATTTTTGGTATTTCGAATTTTTATTTATCGAATTTCCGAATACTCCGAACTTCCAATTTTCGAATTCTGAATATTTTAGATTTACAAACTTCCGAATTTCCAATTTTTCGAATTTCCAATATTTAAAGAAATTTTTAGACTTCTGAATTTCCAATTTTTCAAATCTTCAAACTTTCGAATTTTTAATATATGTGGAATTTCCGAACCATCGAATTTCCAATTTTTCAAATTCGTCACTTTCCAAATTTCCGAACATTCAAATCATTTCTGATGTTCAAATGAGAACCCTATTACTCCCCGAGATCAAGAAAAATTATCGCAATAAAGGAAATAATCTTAGGAAATCAGCTGATGCTTAACAAATCGATTAATTAAGAAACTTCTTAACCAACAGTGCACATGTACACATACGTGCATATCTATGCATATACAAACAGATGCTCGTAACTTACGAACAAATAATTCGCACAACGCATAATTCAACGTTCCCACGAGGTTTTAACTATTTCATTGACTACCTTACTAGAACATGGCCTCGATATTTCAATTCGATGTGGTGTATCGAAATCAAAAGCAACGAACATAGCTAGCTTGTACAGTGCATACGCTGGCAGCTAGATATCTACCGGGTGATCCGTTTCAAATGTACAATACGAGTCCCATTACGAATATCAATCTATCACAACCAAGTATCAATATGATTCATCAAGCTATTAAAAAAGAAACCAATGAGAGAGAAAAAGCAGGAACTTCTAAAATCTCTAAAACTCCTTACAAAACTATTTTCCAAAAGTAGTTAACAAAAATTAAAAATTCCGCGGAACAAAATTAATTAAAAATCAGGGAACTTCTATTCAGAGATTAAAACGACCATTAATACCATATACATAAAATAAAATCCCTAATCCTATACAATGATAAATTTAATGACACAAAGAAAAATTTCTCCTTTATGAAAAATATTTATTTACAACAATAATCACTTAATTAAATGAAAAATCCTGTGAACCAAAGATAGTCTCTAAAACTTCACACTTGGTTCATACTAATCCCCTGATTTCCAAAATTTCAACGATATTTTCAACTTTCCCGACTACCAACTTACCCCTTCATCCTCTCGGAAAACGGGTCACCCGGTACATACTCCTTAGCATTACTACCGCTAAACGGTCGCGTGCTGTATGAGGCAATTAAGATTCTACGTGACCCGAATCGCCAGGACCTGGAGTATCGAATTCAGCGAAACGCATCGTTTCCCAAAATCGACACTCGTGTCCAAAATCAACTCGAAATGGAAATTTCCACGCGAAATCAACCATCGCGAGGAAAAATCTCTGCAAAATCCGCTGAGACACACGTCTCCTTGTTCCACCTTGTACAAACTCTCAAGCCATCCTCTGCTCCTTCGGAGATCTACGCTAAGGACTAGGATAATAGGATAAATTGAACTATACGCAATCAACAAGCCAGTCTAGCCTCTCAACAACCCCTCAACATAGTCTTAAACCATTCCTTTCGCCTTTTCTTCACAAGATTGCCACGTCGTCTCAGGTAAAAATGCAACGAGGCTCACAGAACCTTCCTGGGTCCCCTGATTAGAAGGTTCTTCGAAATACGATCTCTCGAAGGGAATTAGAATTTGGTTTCTCCACCTCTTCTTCTTCTTCTTCTTTTTGGTTAGTTTTCACAATTTTCTTGATCAATAGTTGCTCGTGTTTCCCGTTTTCTTCCCTTCGCGAGCTAACTCGCGCGGTGTCCGACGGTCTGTCGTGCGCGGTCGCGCTACCCTAAGTCTCTAATTCGCCTAACTTAAACGTAAGTGATACGAAACGTACAAGCGAGATATCTCTGTTCGTATGAAGACACGGTTGGAATAGTGTGGGAAGAGGGAGAAGCTCGTGAAAAGAAGCTTCCTTTGGGTCTCTTAAACGCTAGTTTCCTACGTGTGTGTTTCTTCTTGGAGCTTCTGCCTTTTTCGAAAAGAGAAAGAAACTGTCGAAAAGGAGGATCGATCGATTTCTTCGAAATTCTTTCGGTATAGTAATTTTTCAATCTATAGAAAGTAGAATTTTTCATATTTCTCGAGCATTTTTAACAATGTTTTTCCAAACTGGAGTTAGAGGAAGAAATATCTTCAACCTTTTCTAGTCACCAATGCTACTATAATTATTTTTTAATCTCAACTTATTACTCCTTTCAGAGTGAAATTGGGAAGAAAAATATTTTCCCGCAACTCGCTGATATTTTTGAAATTATTCTCACCCTCTCCTTGAATTTTCAAAAATCGATCAATTGCCTGGAATTTCTGTCGAATCTGTCCAATTGTTTTGTTTATTATTTCCAATCTTGCTTTACCAATCTTTTCGTTAAAAGGGAAGGTAGCTCGAGAAAGATGGGTGGATCGATTCCATCTGACCTCCATCTTGAAATCGATCAGATTATCTCGAATATTAAAACTTTTTCTCGAGTTTCGACCTCTTTCACGAAACGTTCACCGTGATATACGTCCACGTGGCTATTACAATATAATGACGCTCTAACTGCATAAATACTCTGTGTCGTTAATTCTAATAAGTGTATATAACGGGTGTCGCGAATATTCGAATCGACTACACGTCGGATGTTCGCAGACGGAATCATGACGATGGCCGATATCGACGTACAGACTTGTCGACTTGGTATTCGAGACAGGGCTGTTTCTGCTATAAAATCGCGTGTGACATTGGAAACGTCTTGAATCCGAAGGAATCTTAGCTAAACGCGTGACGAAATTTCCCGATCGGTTATGCAGAGTTCTCGATTGCATTTGGATCGCGTTCTTTGGTTTCTCGTCGTTTGTTCTTCTAGAATTAGCGTTACTTATGCGGTAAACGGTATTTATAGTTACTTTGGTATAGTCAGTTATATCACACTAGAGTCCATGGTGTCTGATGGGAATTGCCGCCCGAATTCTTGCTTTTGGAGTTCCGCCTGCAGAACCCTGAACGAGATTTTTTAAATTATTTTCAAGTAAATTTCGTGATGGGTTAAAACAATATCACGATATTAAAATAAAATAAAAATAATAGGATATTGTATTTGAGATCTGAATTGAGTTAATAACATTTAAATAATATTTGTGAACAATTTCCTGGTCTTTAATTAAAATAACTAGCACGACTTTCTAATGTTTGTGAAGGGATCAATAATATTTAGTCGAGTAATAATTGTAAAAAAGTTTTCTGAATACTTGTTATTTAAAAGGATTTGAGAGAAATTTAGGTAAACTGCTGATGATGTAGCTTTCTATAGGATGTATCTATGTATTACAGTTTAATACCTTATTTCGATTTTTAATTTTCCACGATAAATTTATGGATTTGCTAGATAATTACCTGTCATTGCTTAGCAGACTTGAACCTTGTCAATTTCAATTGCACCGGATTGGAAACTTTCACGTGAACCGCGATATCCTCTACAGGTGCCTCGCGAACATCTTGGCCACCAACTGCCACCACTCGGTCGCCTTTGCAGATCTTTCCGCTTTCCAAGGCGCTACCACCAGGCAACTACATGGACAATACAACAATAACAATTGTAATCTCCAAAAATCACGAAGGAAAAAGAGAATTTTTATGGTCTTCTATTAATGTATTCTTCTTTTTTAATTCCACGAACTAAGGCTATAAAGCTATCACTATTCGGCTATAAAATCAACCTGATGAACTGATAAATCTCTAATACTTTACTCTTGTTGATTAGAACTATTTAAGGATTAGGTCTAGCGATGTTAGGAAGCATACCAGGTCTGAGACATATGCTCCTTTTCCACTCTTGTATCCTGTCAAACAGAGACCAGCTCCTTTGCCTGACTTCTTCTGTAATTCCACCTCGATTTCCTCTTCTCCTTTCTCATGTCGATGAACCACCATTGTGATCTATATAGGAAAATATTATAATATTGAAAAATTAAATGAGAATAAATTGTGAAGACATTGTTGGAAAAGAGAGGTGGGTGACACGTACAGTTCCTGAAGCTTTCAACACTGCAGCATGAGCTTTGTCATGCTCCATCTCTTTGAAAGGCTGATTACACATGTCGAGTATCTGGTCTCCAGCTTGTAATCTGCCATCTTTGTGAGCTGCTCCGTCAGGAAACACCTCGACGATGAACACTCCTTTCTGAGTAGAGATAGAAAGATAACAGAATCTTCGAAGCTTCTCTAGATACTGTCAATTTTTGATTAAGAATTTTCAATAAAAAATTAAATTAAAATTACCAGTGGCGTGTCAGAACCACCAGCTATGATGAAGCCAATGCCTTTATCTTTGTCTTTCTGGAACTCTATCGTTGTATCTTTGCCAGTCACGATTTTGCAATCTTTTGGATCCTGAGGTGCCTCTGGTTCTGGTGGCTTCTCTGGCTCCTTGGGTGCCACAGCTGAAACACGAGTACATCGTATCTTTTATTCCATTAAATTTCAATCAGTTAAGTACAATATCAGAGGAATTATAAAAATTAAATTAAAAAAATTATTAGGAGAATATCAAATATCTGTTTGACTTTCTGTTTGATAAAATTAACATTCGATTATCTTTGGAGCACCCAATATAATTTAGAACTTCATCAAGTAAATCAATATTTGGTATACGTTATTAGAACAGTATTTCAAACTTTTAGAATAAAAATATGATGTACAATTTTTCATTTGTGCTTGATTATAATAGTAATTAGTGGTAATTACGTTGAGGCTCAGGAACAATGCCTTTCGCCTTATCCTCCTCTTCTTTCGCCACTTTGCTCTGATTAGGGTTGCACACTGTGAGCGTCACAACACCCTCTGCTTTCTTCAAAAGACTCGTAGCCTACGAAAAAAAATTCCAAATTCTCTTCATTATACTTTAAATACCCGTGTAATGAATATTAAATACAAAATAAAATAAAAATTCCAAATTCTCTTTATTAGAGTTTAAATATTTATATGATTTGTGTACTCTTTGCAAAATATTCATAGTCAACAGCGAATAATTTCAACTTAGCTGCACGATTCATAATTCTCAGTGCTCATTACCTCGTCGTAAGTAGAGCCCAGCAAACAATCCAAGTTGACAGCGAGGATCATGTCACCCACTTGCAAACCAGCCTGAAGCAAGCGAAAGAGTAATGAAGCTGACACAGAGATGAACACGTCGAATTTCGTTCGCGAATCGACCCAATTCCGACTATAATACCGACTAATTGCCATTCACGTGGTGTGTCGAGACACGCGGAATGATGGTTTGAGAAGCAGAGCAAGGAGAACAATTACCTGCTCAGCGGCGCTGCCTTCTTGGATGTCTGAGATGAATATACCTTGGCCGACCTCTGCGTGCTTTCCCTCGATGATCATTATGCCCAAACCGTACTGGCCCTAGATGTTAGAAAATCCACGTGTAGTGACCTAAATGGCGTTATGGTACTCTCTGAAATTTTTCTACACTTGCCTTTTTCACTGATATGTTACGGACTCCTTTGTATTGGCTGAACATGTCGGACTGGAACACAGGCATGGTGGATATTTTATTTGTATTACAGAGAGAGAGAGAGAGAGAGAGAGAGAGAGAGAGAGAGAAAGAGATGAAATTTACAAAGGATTAATTAATCATCTATTGTCGTATGAATAATAATAGTATATATAATAACAAATATATAATACATAATTGAAAATTATTATGATGAATTAATACAAAATGTATAGAAAATCATTAGAAAATATTAAAATCAATAAATTTGTCAAGTAAACTTGTATTAATAATAATAATAAAAATATGCGATATTTGATGTTTTAAATAAAAATGAGCAGGTACTTTCTTAAAGTAACAAAAGAATTTATGAATAATATGCAAATAGAATTTCAAAATTGGACTCACATCGTCCAGTGTAGGAGGAAATTGAACAATTGGTTTGACAGCGATGTCATCAAGAGCGGCGCTCCTCCTATGAATCAAACCATTGGATTAATTTCACCAATTAATACCTCGCTCAAAAATTTTTATAATACAATAATGTCGCAGAGATTTAATTTCGTTAATTAATTAATTATTTAAGAATATTGCACGTATATTACCGTAGGACAACAATTTTGAAACAGGTGCCAGCCATTCCTTTAATTATGGCAGATGCATTCAAGTGACACCGTCCTTGTAGAACGCAGCCATTGACCTGTAAAAATAATTCACCATAAAAAGACAAGTATATTAACCCGATTAATTAACAAGACGAAAAATTGAGCCTTCTAATCGAATTATTTTTATTACTCATTGATATTCAATTTTCATCCATATTTATTTCATCTGTACCTCCAAGAACATTATCAAAAATATTATTACATACATCAATAATATCTAACTATTTAGAAATAAAGAATAAAAATAATTATACACAGAATACATATATAATAAATTATTGGAAATAACCAGACCGATGAAAATTCTTGAAAGAAATTTAATAATAATAATAAAAATAATATAATTCATGTATTACGATATTCATCCAGAAATTGCGAATGATATGAAAGATATTATCTTTCTGACATTTGCACGTGTATTAATAATAACGAATAAGATAATTTAGTACTGAACTCAGCGACACGATTTTCATCCGATATGTATGTATCAGTACCAAAAAGGTTAAAACGGTTCATACAGTAACGATCAAGTTGGAATTCTCAAGCAAGGTGAATCACCCTGGAAAAGTAGGTTTCGAGGTTTCGTTTTTGAGATAATCGAGTTTGAACGTTTGCCAGGCACACATGTGCTCGGCTGAAAATTCACCGACTTGTCTTTCCGCGATTTATCACTCTGAACCGCGGTTCCGTTGGGTGTAGACCGACGATGACGACTGGAAATTCCTCGGAGGAACACTTGTTGGGCAATTAACAACCGATGCCAGCTGATCCTGGCTCGATTCTCAGATTCCGTTGACAGTTCGCTGTCAATCCGCGGATGAAGGGTGGAGAAGATGAAAGCACAAACCTCGAGTATCTCGTCGCCAACGGAAATCTCGCCAGTTTTGTGAGCTGCCCCCTTTGGATTAAGGCCACATACGAACACTGCCATCCGGTTTCGATCCCTGTGTCCCGCCAATGAGATACCCAAGCCGCGCCTGTCCTTTTCTACCTTCACTAGCATCACCTTGTGTCCCATCGAATGGTATTTCTTCTGAATTTTCACTGCAATCAAGTTCGTATTACTGACTATTTACGCGATGCTGGAGAAATGAAAGATCGAAAAGAGAAAACGGAAACAGGAAAATATGGAGAATGAGAAGAGAAAAAGAAGAAAAGAAAATAGGGAAAGTGGATAACTAAAAACAAGAGAAAGAGGGAAGAGGAAGAAAAATGGAAAGAAGATATGCAAATAATTAAAGATAATAATAA